CGGCGGGGTCTGTGCAGCGCCTGGCACTGCGGCCGGGCCTCCCCTGGGTGCTGTTGCACAAGGGAGGGCGAGTAACTGTAACGGGGGCGGCTGGGGCGACCCTGTTGCCTTGCCAGGAATGGCTCCCCTCTCCTCCATCCTCGCGTTGCCTGGAATTACTGAGTTGTTTTCTTTATATATATGTTTTTTCCCCAAGATTTAGAGGGTGAAAGTAAGATGTAGTTTTTAACTAATACATGTATGAAAACTGCTGTGCTTGGGTCAGGGGTGAAGGTGTGCGGGTGCCTGATAGCGATGGAGCAGCCCCAGTCAGTGTGTGTGCCTGATACCCTGTTTGGTGACAGGAACCTTTAAACCAACTGTCACAGTGACCAAGGTGCAATGTTAACAACAACAAAACAGTCCCCTTACTTATAAAACACCCTGCTTATGTGCAGAATGCTGACACGGTTACGTGGATAACCAAAATGTGCTTTTTACGTTGGTGTATTACACACAACCACTTTCCTGGATTAACCCTGTTAACCAAACACACTGACTGCAGAAATGGCTCAAGCTGATAAACACCCTTAAGCGTGTTTCATGTGTTTACAGTGTTCAAAATGATTTTGAATTGCTCTGTTTTGTGTAACGTAACTTACTTGTGTAATTTCACATGTAGGCATGTGATTGTATTGTGGGGTTTCCCAGGTTCTTGCAAGAAGAAATGATACCTAGTGCTGTTCTGGAAACACTTAAACTGATCTGTTGTAAAGCGATGGAAGCTTTGAGCCAGTTTACTTCTTGAGCTAGTTTAGCTAAGTAAGAGAGTCTTATTCAGAGCTCCTGTGTGTTAAAAGCCACGTGTCCTCCTTATGGAGCTGCACAACTGCAAGTTGACGTCTTAGAGTTAGAATGGAGATTCTTAGCCAAGCTGGAAAGGTGTTTAAGTTGCCTTTGTACTCAGATTCTTAAACATGTCTTTTTACTGATCCATATGTCAGTATTTGACACATTTGTTACTGTTATAGGAAGTATGCAGAATGACTTTTTAACCCGTTCTGTCTAAAACTGTACACAAGAAACGTGGAGCCAAAACAGATCCTGCTGTGCTGGATACATACGTACTTGGTTTAAGGATTACCAGATGAGCTTGCTATGTATGGATTTTGTCTTGAACTGTGATCAGTGGTATATTCCTAGTCTCTTACTTGCTTTTGGATAGCCAAAGGAGATAAAGGGGAGGAAGTAACATGTTTCATGGTAATGAATAAGATATGGGTGAGACTTGCCCAAACCATACAGAGGAGAGCATGGGCCTCTCAAATAGGGATCCAGAGGAGGAACCATACTCTCCAAGTTCTAATGTTATAAAACTAGTCATGAGGAAGTTGCAAAATTAATTTGCCTTAAAGATGCTCCTAATACATTATGTAGAGTAACAAAGCAAAGTCTTATCTTTGATTTATCTAGAAAAGAGACTGGATTGAAATACCTGGGTTTGCTTTACAAAGTCTGGTGGCTATCAGCATTTGTTCTGGAAGTGCTTCCTTTTTTATTTAACATCATGTAAAAAAACTACTTGAATTTCTGTATTACCAAATTCTGATTCCCAGCCTTCTTTCTTTGTTTAATCAAAGTACTTCCAGAAACAACACCGAAACCTGTGAGTACCAGTTTTTCTGGAGCTGCTTGATTCCAATTTGGATGAGTTATCTTACCTACTGTTTGCATAGGTGATGCTGAAAGATACAGCATTGAAAACTCTTTGGTGGTGGTTTAGTTTAGTAGGCTTAAAAATCACTTTTAGCAACAAAAACCCCACAGAGGAAATTACATTTCACTTTTATTAGAAAACTCTCCTAGGAAGGCAGAGGATTATAATGAGGTTTAGGAGACACTTAATTGCCATCTAAACTTTCTCCATTACCGGTGGGATTGGCTGTAGCTGGTTTATAGGTAATTTGCTTGCAGTGACTGTATGTGTCTCAGCCAAGTGCTGTTGTTCCTCCATCACAGCATACATAATAGGAACATCATTTTTCTCTAGTGCTGATCCTGTATTTTTACTTAACCCAATTCTTCATTTTGCTAATACATTGTTGTAATTTCTCCCTCTTTGCCTCATAGGTCTTCTTGTGGGAACATTAGACGTGGTTTTGGATTCCAGTGCCAGAGTTGCCCCATACCGTATTCTGCACCAGACTCAGGACTCTCAAGTGTATTGGGCAGTGGCGTGCGGTATGTAGTGATGTGACTCTTGTTGGGGGCTGGATTTTTGTTATCTTGTTATCTTTTTGGTTCAGATAATCAGTGATCCCACAGAGGAGTATTCCGTGACTGCTCAGGAAACGTTCTAGAGCTTCTGGTGGGGTAGTGGAAGATGTCAGAAATGACAAAACTTCTCAGTGTTGTTTAAACTATAGTTTAGGAACTTAACCCTCTGTAAAAAGCTTCTGTTTCTGCAGTGTTATGAGTTTTCTTTTTTCCAAGGTGTATCTGTTTGCAAGGTCATAGTGAGATTGTTCAGAAATTAAAACCGTGATGGTAATATTGCTGTGGGAGGTGAGTGTTGTGCCAAAACCTGCTTACCAGAGCGCTGTACAAGATGGGAACATGTAAGGTTGTTCAAGGTGCCAAACGCTCTTTGGGGAATCTCTTTATGATCTCGATCCAGTTTACTGTTTCTGCCATTTCTGGCCTGTAACAGATTTATAGATACACTATATCTGGATAATACATTACTTTAATATTTTTTTTAAACATCAGAAATCTTTGGCTTCTTTCACTTGAGAGATGTAACTGCTCTGTTAGAACATCATGGTACAACCTTCTAATATCTGCTGGTAAACTTTGATTAAAGCTTTAGGTCCTACTGGTTGCTAAAGAGAAAAATATCTTCAGACATATTTGTTAGACCAACTTTGTTTGTAATAAGAATCTTCACTTCTCACTTTGTGATTGAGACATAAAATCTGAGCATGAAGTAATCACATGCTCAGCCCAGAGATCTTGGTGTCTTGTTTTCCCTGTTCCTCTCTTCTCCCCAGGCAACCACCACAATATTCTCCCTTGCAGAGCTACTTAAATTCTGCAGAAGAGAGGTTTAGAAGTTGCTGTGTTTCACAGAAAGTTTCCCTTTTGAGGAGGGTGGAGGCAGAGAGGAAGAAAGACAGAAAACAAAATGGCAAGCCAGAACCTGCATAGAAAAAAGCAGAATATTTAGTGGCCACATACGGTGCAAATCCGAAATTTTTAGTATCTTGACATTAATGAGTGTGTTATTTTGGGGTATTTTATGCATGTTTAAATTGATATCCTCTATATCTCAGTTACTTTTAAGAAATGAAGCATGGTAAATGAGTTGGGCTCTATAACAACTGAATGGAGTTTGATAAATAATTATACTGGTGTAAATCTATTGTCTTCATCCAAAGTATTTTTTTAATCATACCTGGTTCTCATTTGACTGTCAAAGTAAAAGTACTGGCTTTCACTTAAAGTTATAAAATATATATGGCTCGCCAGTTGAAAAATGTGTATCTTTTATGTACAATTTATCATGTATAAATACTAGGCAGCATTCTGGTCATGCACACAGCTTCAGCCTTCCAGCACTTTGTTCTCACAACTCTCTGTAGAAATTGTTTTACTCCTTCTTGAATGTAATTTGAATGTTGTTCTTAGATGACAGTTACTGAGGCCTGGCTTATTTTAACAATTTCTCTGCTGCCACTTGGTGGGAGATGCAGCTCCTGAAACAAAACAGAACCCAGACTTTATTCCCCTGCCATTGTTGCTGGACCTGTGGGATTTTTGACAGCCAAAGCATCCTATAGTTGATAATTCTGTGACCTTAAAATAAGCCATTTTGTATTACTCAAAATCATTAGTGCTTTAAAAACACTGTCAGATGGCTAACATAGATGTCAGGTAAACTTACACACAGAGGCAAAAGAATAAGTATGTGTTGTCTAATCCATTGGGCTGTACACACAGACTCAAATTCAAAGCCCTGCAGTGCTTTGAGACAAGACAGCTTACTTGCTTCTAGTTTTTGGTTTCAGGTCTTGGAGTTATTCTTGCTTATGAAACCACAGATGAGCTGGCATTGGGTTTTGTGGGGAAGTGTCTAAGTGCAAATACATGAAGACTTTTTCACTGCTGAAGCTGCCTCTTAAAGTCAGGTAGAGCAATAGCTTTAGGGAAGAGCTTGGGTGTTTGCTGCTTTCTTCTCTTCCATCATTAACCACAGGGAGGGATGTACTCACAATGAAATCGGGTAGAGGAAGGCATGCTGTTAACTTTTTTAGATAGCCCACTGCTTTTGTCTGAAACATCAGAAGATAAATTTACTGGAATTTGGCAAAGAGAAACTTACTTACAAATGTGTTCGACTTGCATTTAAACAGAATTCCTTTTTTCTGCATTTAACGATGTTTCTTGTTAAATCAATTGCTTTTTAATTTTTCTGCATTTTTTCTGCCTGCAAGAGGGTAGAGTGATAGCTGTCAATAGAGAGGAGGAAATCTTCCAGTAAACAAATCGTTGAAATCATGTCAATTAAGGTAACTTTCTATAGGAATGTTCTTCAAGTTGGTGACACAGTGCAGCTTGGTCTTTGTGAGCTGCTGTAAATGCTATGGTTAAAGGCAACAAGCTGGTAGAAAGTTTGGTGACACATTTTTACTTAAGAAAGTAAAAAACGTTGCCATGAATATTTTGGTTGCATTTTGTTTTGGAATTTTATGCTCTTTGCTGACCATTGCCCATGGAAGATGGAACCTCTTTGTAGGTATAAAAAGTTCAGTTCTAAAATTTTAGGATTCTACTGAAAGTTTATTTTTGCTCCAGAATACCAGGAATTAGAAGAGTCTGGTACATAAGTCACATTTTGTCTGGGGAAAAAAGCTGTGTTTGGTGTGCACTTGCTGATAGGATGGATGGTCTGTTGGTAATGCTATTATCCCTGGTGGCAGTGGAGACATTTCATTAGAAACATAATGTTGGTGTACATAAAATATCCTTGACAGTTATACAGTCGATGTGTTTGATTTGTCCTGATCATTGTTTGGTAACTATTAGTTTCCTGCTGTGAACTTGGAGGGAAAAAAAAGACCATGTTCTAATTTCTTTCTTCTTTACTCTTCCCATCATCTTTCACCCCTTCCATTAGGGTCGTCTCGTAAAGAGATCACAAAGCATTGGGAATGGCTGGAGAATAACTTACTGCAGACTCTCTCCATCTTTGATAATGAAGAAGATATCACCACCTTTGTGAAAGGCAAGATACATGTAAGTGGCATGTTTCCCTTAAGGACTTCCAGATCTTGAGAAAGAATGGGGAGGTGGCTTGAAGAATATTTTACCTGAGGGAGGGAGGGAGGGAGGGCGGAAGAGCTCCATGGCAAAACTTCTCTCTGCTCCCTTTTCAGACACACATACATTTGCAATTGTCATGGAACACATATGGTATTATCAGCATCATGTTACAGTCGTAACACTGGCCAAATGTATTTGTGTGTGGGGAAGGTTACAAGCAGTAGATCTCAGGGAAGAGCCTGCTTAGGATGCTCTTACTAATGAAAATATAATACCTCTTTAAAATCCTTTCTGATTATACCTTTGATGCAGAGAGAATGTTTAACAAGGATTCATCTAGCAACAAATACAGCAGAGAGAATTCTAGTTTGCAAGTAATACACTTGTCCTGCCACAGTGCTTTAGAAGGTATCTAGGTTGTGAAGGAACTGCACCCCAATTTCCACTGACTTGAGTCAGACAGGTGTCTGCTTGTTGTGCAGTGAACACATTTCAGATTCCCAGCCCACAAATTCTCCACTGTAGAAACCTATAAATACAGTTTTTTGTTGAACAGCAGCAATTTGAGTCTTTTTCAGTACTCCCGTCAGATTCTTTGTATTTTCTGTATGTGAGAGAGATTGTGGTCATTTGTTTTTTCCTTCTGGCCAGTCAAGATGTGACAGAATGTGGTGTTCTGCCCTTCCTGGCAGATGATCTTCTTCCTGTTGAAGAAGCATGTATGCAAGTGAAAACAGACTTGAGTTCTCCTGCAGGGTGTTCAAAGTGTTACCAGGCCAGCCATGAGAAACACAGTCAAGTCTTAAACACGAATGCTTGCTGCATGTGTTCAGGAATAGGTCATAGACTCCCAGACTATTTGGCTGCTCTTTCTACATATCTTTACTATTTCTCTAACTTGACAGGAGAAATGGTAACTGCTGTGTCATGTTTCTTCTTTCTGTCTTCCAGATTGCTGCCATGACCTTTTGCTGTCTATTATGTCTGTCAGCAGGCATGTTCCCTTCTGTTACGTCTCTTATTTCTTCTCTCTCTCCTCCCATGTCCTTTCAGGGAATTATTGCTGAAGAGAACAAGAATGAGCAGCCCCAGAGTGAAGAGGATCCAGGTAAATTCAAAGAGGCTGAACTGAAGATGCGGAAGCAGTTTGGGATGCCCGAGGTGGAGAAGTTGGTCAATTACTATTCCTGCAGCTATTGGAAGGGCCGTGTACCCAGGCAGGGATGGCTGTACCTCACTGTCAATCATCTTTGTTTCTACTCCTTCCTACTGGGCAAAGAGGGTGAGTTATAAGCCTGTTGGTTGGTTTTCTGCCATTTATCGTGTACTTTTTGGTGCAGTTGATCTTGTGTGTGAACTTTTTTTTTAAGATGACAGGGTTTTTCCCTTTTAGGAATCCTTTGGGCTCTGGCTCAATGTGTAGATCAGTCCTTGCACTCATAAGCACTTCAGGGGTGTTTAGACTGAATGGCTGAGTCAATTCTTGTACAAGAACACCCAATGTTTTACTTAAACTGGATTAGAGAACCAAGCAGTATTTTTATCTTGGAGAGTTTTATTTGGAAGCAGCACCAGGACCCGATATTTACAAAGCCTGAACTCCTGAGTTCAAAAGCTGATTTGCTGGAAAGAAAGAATGAAATCTTGAGTAATTGTACTTGAAGGTATTTACTGGATAGGAGTCCTTTTGGAACTGCATTGTTTCTAGTCTAGTTAATCACAAGGGTTACTTCCAAGTATTTTTGGACAACCCAGTAAAAGTATGAGGAAAATAATTGTACACGTCTGAGAGGGGAAAGAAGTGCTGCTACGCTGAGAGCTTACTGGCGCCTTGAGCCTCATTTCTGATTGTTGTTTTGCCTAAAATGGTAATAGTAGGGTTTTTAATCTTTTTTTTCCCAGTTACGCTGGTGATCCAGTGGGTGGATGTAACCCAGCTGGAAAAAAATGCCACACTGCTGTTCCCTGAGTGCATTAAAGTAAGCACAAGAGACAGTGAACTTTATTTTTCCATGTTTCTCAACATTAACGAGACATTCAAGCTGATGGAGCAGTTGGCTAATATTGCTATGCGGCAGCTGCTGGATAATGAGAGCTTCCTACAGGACAAGTCCCTCCCAAAGCCCAGGAAGCCTCTTAAGAACATCTCTGCATTAAAAAGGTATGTGTTTCCAGCAGTGAGGAAACAAGACAAATAACAGGATTGTTACAATAAATCTGCATTACTGTGTAGCTCCTAGTTGCCTCTGGGGTTCTCTCACTCTCGGGGCTGTATCACTTGCTCCTATCATTAGGCCTGATCTTTTTCCCATCCCAGATTGGTACTGAATTCACACACACCCTCATGTCTTACTCATGCATGAGTAGGCACGGTCAGGAGGAATTTTCAACTACAAACTGTTGCAAATCCTGTTAAAACAAAGTGAAAAAAGAGAATTACATCAGTCCCATTGTCTGAAGTTGAAGAATTATAAAAAAAAATACACATTTTTGTTGTAATAAATCCTGCTGCTGGGGACTGTTCTCTGCAGTTTCAGCAGCTGATATAATGTTTAAGTTTTGCAGATGCAATTGCATATTTTATCTTGTATTGCAGGACATACCTTGTCAGTGAAGCATGTCTGAAGGCTGAAAGAGGAGTCAGATAAGGGGTAGCATCTCAGTTAGAGAAATGAATACTAAGAATACACAGCACAGTCTGAAGGTTGTGATTGGAATCAACACTTAAGATTAGTGTTTGAGTGGGTTTTTCCAGTGAGAAAAAACCTCTGGGGATTACTCTTTACTTTTCTCCAGAGACCTGGATGCTCGAGCCAAAAATGAGTGCTACCGTGCCACTTTCCGGTTGCCCAAGGATGAATGTCTGGACGGACACACAGATTGTACCTTGTGGACACCATTCAACAAGATGCATATTCCTGGCCAGATGTTTGTTTCCAACAATTACATCTGTTTTGCCAGCAAGGCAGAGGAGGCCTGTCATCTCATCATTCCTCTCAGGGAGGTAGGAATTTCTTAGCTGTGTATTAAGACTATAGGCCTTTCTTGTCCTTTGTGTGCTTCTGTCTTTTGTGCAGTGCTTTATAGATCATAGAGAATCTCCTAGATCCAAATGGCCCTTGTCTTTGTCTTCTAGGTGACAATAGTTGAGAAAGCAGATAGTTCCAGTGTCTTGCCCAGCCCTCTGTCCATCAGCACTAAAAGTAAAATGACCTTCTTCTTTGCCAATCTGAAAGACCGAGATTTCTTGGTACAGAGAATCTCTGACTTCTTGCAGAGAACACCATCCAAGAAACCATGTGGCAGCGACAGGGAATGGAAGTGGAATTTGACTGATCCTGGTTGCGAGGTACTAAGGAAATAGCAGGGAGGAGCATTTGTCAGCTTTTCAGAGCAGTGCTCCTTACAGCATTAACATGTTAACAGTGCTCCTTGCCAGCAAATGCTGTCTCTTTGTTACACAACTAGCAGAGGAGGGGGGCTGCCTGAGCTCAGCTGCTTTATGTTCTGTTGTTCAGGAGGTTCCAGAGCTGCCTTCCAGCAGCCCGCTTGCAATTAGCCCCATGTCTGCTCTCAGCAGTCGACCTGTCAACTTCTGTGCTGGGGAAGTGCCAACAGCCTCACAGGGACTACTCAAACTCTTCAGAAGAAATTCCGAGGAGCTCTCAGGACCCAAAGGGGTAAAAAATACTTTAACTTAAAAGAATTAACTCTAAACAGTTTGCAGTAGGTTGCAGATTTCCTGTCCTGCTCTAAGACTTAAAGTGCATTTTATCCCTGGTCAGTCCTGCAGTTATCACTGCTTTGTCTGTCACAATGATAGGGCTACATAGATGTAACCTGACTGTCAGCTTGCTTTATCAGTACTGAGATACCTGAGATACTTCACTAGAGGGTGAGAATTTAGTGTTACTGTGCTGCTGGGATGTAAATTCATGTCTGTGAAGAACTTCTTTTCTTCAGATCAAGAAAGCAGACCTCTGCTTGCTAGTTAATCATCTTAGACCATGGTTGTGCTTGCATTTATGTAGGGGTTTGCAAGGTATAATACAATTGCACAGTCCATGTTAGTGTTGTAAAGAATTGACTTTAAGCAAGGTCAGAACTGATTCATAACAATGTAGGTTAGAATGCACCTTTTCATTCAGCAGG